CTAAATTTGGTGAAGAATTTCGATATGAGCCTGAGGCAAAAGTTGTTCAGTTTATTTTTCTGCATGGACCTTCCCTGGTCCTTGCACGGGCTGGCCATCCTGGACCCAGGCTGCCCGGCTGGTAGCCTAGGTACTTTCACATTCGAAGATCAAACCAGTTTTTGTTACGTGCACTTTCACACTGAATTTTCAAACCAGTTTCTTTTGATGGATTTTCTCATTCAGACCAGTGCCTGGAGCTGGACCATCTCAATCGGGCTCGCTGAACCACTTGGCAAATGCCAACATTTCGAATGTACCAGGACCAGAAAGACGCCCCCATACATTCAAAATGTTAGCATTTGGGAAAGGGATGCAGCAAGCCCGAACGGATCCACGACGTCAGACGCACACATGTGTAAGCGCAGATCATTATCCTCTGAAGAGTCTGAGCCTCCACAAAAACAAAAAACAGGCAGAATGTTTTCCAGCGGACCAGTACAACAAACTAGGGTTTAGGGTTTGAGCAAAACACACAAAAACCGACGGCAGAGCTTGAAATTTCATATCATGACCAAATGCTGGCAACGACCATTTCACGTCCCCTGCGGCGTTTCATTTTGCAACTTTGCATGTAAAAACAAAAAGGGAGAGAGAGAGAGAGAGAGAGAGAGAGAGAGAGAACATGTTAGAAGACACTGTGGGCCAAACTGACTCCATGCAGCAAATCTCCTCGTTGTCAGTCACTAGGGCTGAGTGAATTCAATTCGTCTCGCTCTACCTTCTTCCCCCGAATACAATGCACGGTCATTATAGCTGTATTTGGGGTATGTTTCAGTCTAAATACAGCTTTGGCTATGGTGGAAGCCAAACCTGAGCCGGCACTTGCATGTTATGGTCGTGGGTGGTAATGCTGCCACGCCCTAGCAGTCCCACCCTTGTACTAGGAAAGCATCAACTGGACATAGAACTGCTTAGGTTTAGGCTACCCTGGCACAAACAAGAAGGGTCTGCCGCCTAGTGGGAATCAGGCTGGAAGTCATCAAAGTGGTCCCACAAGGTGGGACAGGGGCAGCACTCCACCGTCCTCACCCAGACCCGAATACAACGTACGGTCATTACAGCTGTACTTGGGGCAACTCTGAGTCTAGATACAGCAATAATAATGACCGTACGTTGCATTTGGGTGAAGACGATAGGAGGATGGCAGTACACAGAAAAGGAGCAAGATCATCACAGCACTGCCTGTCCAGGTTTGTGGATTGTCACTTGACTCCTCTTTTTTTTCCCTTCTTCAAAAAACCGAAAACGGGCCAACTGTGAGTCATTCAACCGTGATGTTCAGTTAGTGGCTTTAAACCTTTAAACCCCACCACAAGTGCAGCCGAGCCCGGAGGCGCCTTACTGCGCACCAAGCTTTTCCGAACCGTCAGCAGTGCACTTTTTTTTCTTTTTCTTTTGGGACTGCAATGGCGCCAGCAGCCATTGCGGTCCGGTGGGCCGAGCAATTGGTACTGTGTTGTGGTGGCAACGAGTTGCGTTTTTTCTGCAGGCTGGGGGCAGCCATGTACTGGCTGGCGAATTAACGCTGCGGTCCTTGCACATGTCAAGCAAACGGAAACGACGGGGCGCGGGCACAAACCGACAAACGACGACCAAGCACCGCACACGAAAACCAAACCACCAAAAAAAAAAAAGAGGGGGGCAAAACGACAGATCATGCAAAGACCTGAAAACAAATGTGTGTGTGAGGGGGGGGGGGGGGGGGGGGACAAAATGACGGTCACCCACTATCGGCCGGCTCCCTCTGACATTATTGCTACAGTGTGGTGGCCGACGAGTTGCTTTTTTGGCAGGCCGGGGCAGCCATGTACTGGCTGGCGAATTATCGCTGCGGTCCTTGGGGCATGTGGCGAATTAACGCTGCGGTCCTTGGGCATGTGGCAAATTAACGCTGTGGTCCTTAGGCATGTCACAACCTCGACGGTCTCACAATGTGAGGGCATAGAGCATGTGGATAAAGGAAGGAGGAGCGGGTGGGGTGATAACCGGGGGGGGGGAGGGGGGGTTGTTGACTCGTTGTCCACTTCATCCTTCTTCGGAGCTCCACTTTCTTCATCAGCTTATTTGGCCTTTCCACTGCATCATAAGGTTCAGCTCAACCATCTCTCCTCGTAGTTACAACTCTTTTTTTCTTGCTGCAACGGTCTCCATTGTGATCGCAACAAGTACAGCAAGTCCGTTTGCCGTGCGCGATGTAAATCAAAGGCTCAGTGCACTGCTGCGATGCAACGTAAGAGGGCAGCGACATGGACATGTTGTTGTTATTTTTCAATAGACCCGTGCGGGCCTCAGCGCGCACGCTCCAGCTTTGTATTTACCGTGCTGCGATCCGATGCCATGCTCGTATTCTGTAAGCAGTGTGTGACACTGGATGCCTTCATTATAAAGACAGATCAATGGTGCATTCTCACTCAGAGCATACTCAGACTAGAACTTTTTCAATTCACCTGTGGCTGTAATTGCGGTCAGACACACACCTGCGGGGTCGTAATTGCGGGCCAGGAAGTGCTAGTGTGAGTAAATGTGTGAATCAATTGACTAATGAAGAATCACTAAGAATCACTCGTTCTGTTGATTGCATGGTAGTGGTGTGCGGTGACACTGGATGCCTTAGTGATGGGTGGTGGGAGACATCAATGGTGCATTCTCAGGGCATACTCAGACTACCAGGTAGGATTTTCTTTTGCACTCAGCTCTGGCCACAATTGTGACCAGATACACACGTGCAGCGTAATAATTGCCGGCCGGGGCAGATACATCCAGGAAGTGCCCATCTTCCCCCGAATAGAACAATACAACAGATGGTCATTGTTATTACTTTATCTAGAGTGGAAGTTGCGCCAAATACAGCTATAATGACGGCCCGTTCTGTTCGGCGGAAGACGGCAGTCTGAGTACACTCTCATACGTTCGCTTGCATTCATGGCGGGAAGGAGATCCTTGTGCCCTTGCTGTATCTAGAGTGGAAGTTGTCCCAAATAACAGCTATAACGATGGCACGTTCTGTTCAGGGGACGACGGCAGTCTGAGTACTTGCATGCATTGTGGGAAGGAAATCCTTTTCCCCTTGAAATACAACAGCGCATGTTGCGCCTCTGCGTCTGTCCGCCTACACCCTCACTCTCACTCTTCAGCACCAGAGGAACGGCTGACTCTGCGGTTTCCATAGTCCGCCGACAGCATGTGTTTCTGAACCCACGGAGTCTGCCGTTGGCAGCACAGCGCATTGGAAAACACTTCAAAAAAGACGCTCAGATGGACTGGTCGTTGAAATGTTGTGCCCTGTGGTGTGACAGGGCACAACATTTCAACGACCAGTGCATCCGAGCGACTTTTTTGAAGTGTTTTCCAATGCACTGTGCTGCCACCGGCAGACTCCGTGGGTTCTAGAGTGTCCGCAGACAGCTCTCTTTTCCAATGCGCTGTGCTGCCAACGGCAGACTCTGCACTCAGAGAGCAGCACTCGTTACGACTGTCTACTGTCTAGGATCTACTCTTTTCTCCTTCTCCCCCCTTCCCCCCCCTCCTCAAACAGGGGCTTAAAGGCTCTACTCTTCGAGCCTACCGTCTTCCCCCGAACATAACGCACCCTAAAAATGAATGTATACAAGTTATATTTCCGTCCAGATGCAGCCAAAATGAGGGTGCATTGTGTTCGGGGGAAGACGGTAGCGGTGGAACTCTCGACTCTCTATTCGTGTTTTAATGAAATTAATTAATAATAATTATGTACCCGTGAAAAAATGGTCGGGAAATCCTGGCCTTACAGATACCACACCCTTGAGTTAGTTTTGTCGTTTCTGAAGCAAGTTACATAGCCCCCAGGGCCCAGACTCAGGGCTTGCTCACACGTGTGGATGAATTTGACTGCAATCACGTCTGCAGAGTGGTAAGACGTTTGCTACAAAGCTCCAGACGTGATTGCAGTCAAATCCATCCACCCCTGGCCGTAATCGCAGTCACATGCATTTTCGGAAGTGCTACTGTGAGTATGCCCTCCCTCAGAGTCTTCACCCGAGTAGAACACGCGGTCATTATAGCCGTATCTGGTACAATTTCGAGTCCAGATACAGCTATCATGAACGGGCGTTCTATTCGGGTGAAGACGGTCGTATGGATGTAATTTCCTTCCCGACCTACACCCACAGAATTTAACGTGGAGCCTGTTCATGCAGAACAGAACAGTGCTGATGCACTGTGTGCAGACAGATTTTTTAGCACTCTGGACTCCACCACACTGGTGTGAGGTCACTTGCACTTGACGAATACACTACGTTTGTAGCTCTAAAAAAAAGAGGGGGCGGGTGCAGGGGGGGAGAGCCCCGGGGGAAAGGAGGGAGGGGGGGGGGGGGGGGGGGGGGGGGGGGGGGGGGGGGGGGGGGGGGGGGGGGGGGGGGGGGGGGGGGGAGGGGGAGGAAGGGGGAGGAAGGGGCTGTTGATTATGTTGAGAAAAAAAATCAAAACGATTATCATGATTATCATCGGATTGTGATAATTGGCAAGCCCAAAAAATGGAAATTTAAAATTTTGCTTTTTTTCTGCAGATAGTTATAAACACATTTGATACCAGGTTTTTTTTTTCCTTCTTAATCATAAAAGACACTAAAGGTATTGGCCAACTTGAATGACCCGTTTATTTTTTTGAAAAGTAACACGAATCGGAAAAAACAAAAAAAAAAATAATATTTTTTTTTCTGAGTAGTTTTTAGGAATTTTGTTTGTTGTAGTAAGATGATGATTCAATCCAAAATTGCAGGGCGTTCTGACTGAGAGCCGCATTCACATCTTTGTTTCCCTGAACACGGTGCCCGGTTGCTGTGTCTGTACCTGGCCGGAACGCTGCACTAAATACATCCAGCCAGAATGACCAGGTGTGGTGCATGACAGAAGAAGGTTTAATGTGAGTACTCTGCCCTGAGCTGCAACGCAATTTTCAAACTGGAAAGGAACAACGAATATAGGAGGGACAGGCCCAAACAAGTGCTTTCTGAAACTGCAGAGAACGTTTCACAAACACCAACCATCATACGCCCAATCAACTTAACCGTAATCAATCGGCATGTAATCAATCAGCATCCATCTCACCCACCCACCAATAGCTCTACACCAACCACCATCATCATATACCCCACCCGATCATCACAACCGTAATCGAACGGCATGCAATCAATCAACATCCCACCGATCTAGCTCTCTACACCAACCACCATCACACACCCCAATCAAAAAACAACCGCAATCAACGGCATGTAATCAATCACCATGTCACTAATAACTCCACACCAACAACCAACACCCCAATCAAAACAACCAATCAAAACAACCCAAATCAAAACAACCCCAATACAACCCCAATCAAAACAACCAATCAAAAAAAAAACAATCAATCAACCAATCAAAACAACCCCAATCAAAACAACCAATCAATCAACCAATCAAAACAACCAATCAAAACAACCCCAATCAATACAACCCCACTCAAAACAACCAATCAAAACAACCCCAATCAATACAACCCCAATCAATACAACCCCAATCAATACAACCCCACTCAAAACAACCAATCAAAACAACCCCAATCAAAACAAACAATCAACACGCCACCAATCAATCAACACGAAACACCAATAGCTCTACGGCAGGCCGTGACTGACAGCCGTAGTCAAATGGACAGCATGTAGTCAATCAAAGTGCCAACAACAATAGCTCGTTTCAGGGAGGGCAACTTCAGTGGCAAGCATCTCAATGACTATAACAGGATCAATACCTACAATAGAAAGTAGGCAAGCAATCGAGGGAATCATAGACTGCTAAAACAAGGAGCCTGAATTGACAGACGACATCTCTCTATCCCTTAGCTTTTCGATGTGGTCCCGGACTTCAGCTGCGCTACCAGAGACGACGATACGACCCTCCTCCATGTACGCCGCACCGTCTGCGAAGTCTAGTTCCTCTAGCCGATGGGTTACCCAAATTGCAGTCACACCCCTCCTTCTCCCAAGCACCCCCTTGACAGCTCTCAGGACACTCATTTGGTCCGAGTAGTCTAGGTAGGTTGTCAGCTCATCGAGCAGGAGCAGCTTGCTGTTTTCAGCAAGCGCTCCTGCTATCGCTACACGCTGTTTCTGCCCTCCACTCAGCGTCTGAATAGGGCGTTGGATGAAGTCCTGCATGCCCACGAGCTGCAGCGCGCCAAGCACCCGACTCCTCACCTCCTCTTCCGGCATCGCCGCCGCCATAGTTCCCAGACCAAATGCCACGTCAGCACCGACAGTTGGCATCACCACTTGATGGTCCGGGTTCTGGAAGACGAAGCTCCTAGGATGGGCAACAGCCATGGAAGAAGCAAGATCCCCACTGCTGCTGTCGATCTTAAGAAGACCAGCAAGAGTCCGCAGCAGAGTGGACTTGCCACATCCATTAGGACCTAGCAGCATGAACAATGCTCCCTCAGGAACCTGAAGCGAGCATCCCTTCAGGATTTGAACCCTTCCCCTAGGGCCCTCCACAAACACACACAAATTGCGCACATCTACTGCGGCAGCAGCAGCAGCAGCAGCAGCAGCAGCAGCAGCAGCAGAAGAAGAAGAAGAAGAAGAAGAAGAAGCAGAAGAAGCAGAAGAAGAAGGAGGAGGAGGAGGAGGTCCCCCGCCTACCTCTGCATGCTGCTGAAGCTCCCGCTCTCCCTCCTTCAGCGAGTAGCATTTGCTATCCTCTTCCTGCCTACGGTGAGCCGGCGACGATGAAGACAAGCACCTACGGTGAACCGCTGACGAAGGGGAGGACAGGCACTCTGCCGTAAGAACACCTTGACACCACTTCTCGTTACAAAAACTACCAAGTTCCCTAGAGGAGAACATTGACACCGCTACTGCAGTCTTCTTGTCCTTGCAACTTTCCACTCGCCGTCGCCGGATCGGCAACGACTTATCGCCAGAAAAACTAAGTTCCATAGAGGACACCACGGTCACGGTCTGTTGCAAAACCTTGGCACTAATACGTTTCCCTGTGCCAAGGATCCACAGTCCGTCAGTGGGCGACGAACCTCCAGAAGCACGAGGTGAGCAGTGGCCTAACGATTGCAAGGACAGCGTCCCCATGCAGCTGAAACCGACAGAACGTGCTCTTGCTGGAGACCAAGCAGCTCTCTGACAAGCCAGATGTTGAACGGCTGCCTCTGGAGAACCATGTATCCTAATGGCCCTACAAGAAGGCTTCATGGTCACATGCACATGCTCAGTACACCCAAATCAAGCGTACTTCGTGCTCTACGTTACCACGGCGTGTAAGGACCATCAGCAGGACACGGAATATCACCGTAGATATCTTCACACCCACCCACCCACACACACACCCACCCACACGCACACACACACAGGCGGAGACGTGAAAATACCTGCACACCATGCAAACAAACGTACGCACGAGCACACACGCGCGCGCGCGCACACACACACACACACACACACACACACACACACACACACACACACACACACACACACACACACACACACACACAC